TTTTTTAAATGTGTTTCTCCTTTCGGCCCTTCTGGGTTTTATTTTTCAGATGAAATAGCTAACAAATGTGATGCTTTTGGCAGCAGAATCTGGATCATGGAAGAGTATTCCAAACTCACACTTTTGTAATTATATTACCACGCAATGATATCTCAACTAGGACAAACATTAACAGCTTCTGCAAGGGATAATCTTCCCCAGAAATGTCAACAGGAAGTGAAGATATGAGGCCCATATGGAAGAAACAGTTTGATCCTTCACTTGTTTGATCCTTCAAAGATCATTTTTCTGCTTCACACAGCCATATGTGACAAGAAATCTATAATTAAGAGATGAGATGATCTGTGACACAAAGCGTGGACATGGATCATGACATGCCTTACAGCAGGAACTGTTTCTTTTTAGATCACACTCCTGATTTACTCTGTTGACCCCTGAAGTGAAATTCTGTTTGCTGTAGCAAAAAGGTCAGAGGTCAGAGTCAGCTGCAGGGAAACAACCCACAGTGTCTTGATGAAACAAGACAATCTGGATAACTCTACTGTCCAAATGAATCCTCCAGTAGAAGCTGATTGTTTTTCTTTTTGTACTCCTCACGTAACACCGAGGTGCATTGAGTTGAGGGTGTAATTAATGTATGCAGAGGTTGATGCTGTGTTCCCCAACAGATTCCAGCCCACCTGTGTTCAGCCACCTTCACAAACCAGTACATGAATCCTGACATGCTCCTCACTGACCACAATTTAATATATTGGGGAGGAATCTCCATCTTGGATTAACCTTGAGGTCTACATTGGTGTACAGTTGCAGAAGTTTTTAACTCCTGAACATGCTTTCCTACATACATTCCATAGACGGCAGCCTGGCATGTGTTGATCTGTGTCATTTTGTTGTGGAGGGGTTTGTAGGAAATAACATGTTTATCATGCTGCTCGCTTACAAAACAGCGACAAAAACGTCTCCTCCTTACTTTAACTCTCTCGTCCAGGTCTACACTCCCTCCCGCCCACTACGCTCTGCCAATGAAAGGAGTCTGATCCAACCTTCACAACAGGGTCCTAAGACGCTGACTAGACTCTTCTCCTCTGTCGCCCCCCGGTGGTGGAATGAACTTCCAAACTCCATTCGATCTGCAGAGTCCCTCTGCACCTTTAAGAAAAAGCTAAAGACCCAGCTCTTTATGAACACCTACTAACTTAATGATGATGGTCTCCATATTATTGATGATGATGATGGTAATGACGATGGTTTTGTTTGATAACGATGACTTATAAGATGGTTTCTATACTGATTAGAGCTCTAAAGAACTTCCGTCAATGTTGTGCTTTGCCTCTGGTCACTTCCTGTCAGCACCTGTGTGTCCAATCGGACTCCAAGCTGATCGTTTGCTCTTAATGACATTGTTTCCTTTTTTTCTAGATCCTTGCTTGTGTTGTACTTACTCTCTGATGTACGTCGCTTTGAATAAAAGCATCTGCTAAGTGATTTGTAGAATTGGGGAATTGTAGATCATTGAATTAACTGTAGATACACTTAACAGAGATGATCAATAACACTATAGGGAGTTACAGTATTTACGACGAATGCTTTCATCACAATTCAGAGCCTCGGTACGCTTCTTTTAATATCTTGGACTTAGGACAAGCGAGTCATCAGTTGAAACACACCTTTAAGCAGCAGGCAGACCTGTTGTAGTGGAGATGCGGTAAACACAGACACCAGCTCTGACACGAGGAGCGGGCTGTGCTGTTTGTTCAGTGAGCGTGTAGGTCTGCCTGGCTCTGCTAAGCGGCAGAGTGAACCGTGCAGTAGAACAGGAATCAATCTGAGCTGATGTCTGTCACAAGTCACTCTGTTACTACTTCTATTTACATTGCCACCACAGCGGATTGAGCTATCGGTGGGATCAATGTTGCCTTGTGCATGAATTACAATCAAACTTGTGTGTAAACCAGTATTAACGGTAAGGCATAAATCAATGTTGTGTCCGAGACTAATACCAGTGACAGTATTTGAAGCCGGTTTACCGCCCACCACTACAATACGACACCCTAATGAGTGCAACAGAGCACACAGGAAAGTGAGTTCAGTCAGGGGACACCCACCCGAAAGAGGCTTTATCAGGAAAATTACATCTATCTAGTTTGGTATTTATTTATGCATTCTCTAGTGTCCACAGTGTTCAGAGTCTTGTCTCCTCTAAATGAACCTGATACAACATCTTGACTGAAGTCATTTTTACGCACAAGACTGCAAGCTGTTTTTTTCATTTATTTAAAAAAAAATGTTGATTTTATCATTTGATCACAGGCTCTTCAGCTATCGGAGAAGACCAGAGTAATGGAAGGATCGCTGAGAAAGAGAAAAAGAAGGAGCAGGTCTAATCAACAGATAAACAGATAGTGAGCAGTGCTCGTGCATTACTTCACTCCTGCAGGCTCTCAGTTAGGGGTGAGTCATCTGTCTGCAGAATATGTCACGTTTATGTTTTCTCGCTGACCTTTAGACAACACTTTTTTTTGATGCGATCACTCAAGTGTTAAATCCTTTACCGTCTTGTTTTTTTTTTTATCCCCTCGTTATTCTGATGATACATACTGTTCTTCTTTTCTTAAGTCTCGCATCCTTCACGCCTCCTGTGATCCAGCCTTACTCAACCTTATTAAGTTTTGAATTGAATCATCGGATGCTCATGCCAGGACTGTGTGCATGTTTGTATGCGCTCCTCTGCGTGTGTGTGTGTGTCTGTGTGTGTGTTTACTGGAGTTAGCCCCCTTTTGAGTCTCACTAAATGACTCACTTCATCTTCCCTGCAGTCGCTGTTTTTCAGTCAGTCACCCACACTCATCCTGTAACATGAGCTATGTGTCCCCAACTACTCTGAGGATTTTGTGTCCAAACTGGGGACCTGGGACCATTTTAGGGTCCATGTTTGGATTCTATGGGCCCTTTTTTTTTTTTACACCATTTACACCCTTTTTTTACACCATTTATATTTTATATTCCATAATGGTTCTTTTTCAATTTGGCCTTTAAAAACAGTCTCAGTTAAAGCAGGAATTCTGTCACAAACTGATCACTGTATGTTCCTCACATGTGGTTCTCTGGGATTAAATTGAGTCAGTGGTTTGCAAGCTCTCTCCAAGGGAGTGACAAAGTGAAGGAACTGCTGACCTAGAGGGGATTCTAACAGGATTATCCATTTAGAGGTTATCAGTGAGGGATTAGCTCATACATTCTCTGACTTCTTAATGATTCCAAAATTAAACTCTAATAATTTCTGTGAAGATGTTTGGCAGCGACACGTCTCACTACCAGCCATTTGGCTCAGAGACTGCCTCGTTCTTCAAACAGCTCTCAAGGTGAGAGTTACTCCTCGTTCACTAACATTAGACAAGAGAGTATCTGTACTAAAAAACTGCCTCCACTCACATAATGTGTTTGGCTTGTTCTATCTTTAATGTGATGTTTGACCTTCACATGCGCACAGTTTAACACTAGAGGGCTGTTTTTCACATTTAGCATGTTTCTATGTGTTCACATTATATCTTGAGCTTCAAAGGGTTTTTGTACAACCAGGAATTTGTTACAACCCAACTTGACACCAAGCATGGTTTATTATATGATTGCAGATAAGGGGAGAAATAATATAACAGGCCAAGACATTTCCATGAGAAGAACTGAGGTTGAGGTTTTACAAATTCAGAAATGTCTTCAATTTAAAGAAGACATTTGAAATGAGAGAAAAACACTTCCTGTTAAAAATCATAGTAGTAATACATTAACACTGCAAAATTGCTGACAACAAAGTCAGAAGTTTTCCTAAATAACAAATGCAACCGAAAAACATTGCAACATATCCAGTTACCGCAACAGAAAGGCTCCGGGCCTGTAGGGGGAGTGTTGTGTGAAACTGCTTAATTAACGACTGAAGAGAAAGAGGGAGTAAGCAATGCAGTAATTTTGATACATTTACTTTTTATAGCGTCACAAAACTAAAGATGACTCCCAGCAGAGAGTTCTGAGGGTCTGACCTCAGCGACAACTTTTATAATCTAAATCTATGATATTGTTCAAATTTGGTAAATTCCACTGAACTGACTGTTTCTACAGCTAGTGTTACTTTAAGTTGACTCTTGGTTTGGAAGCTGTGGCTTTTAGGTTTCAATAGCTAAGATAATTATAATAATTTTTCCAGGATGTGGACTCTGTGAATCGCAGACATGACGTGCATGGAAGAGGAGCAGGTACACTGACCTATACCCCTATTGGTCTGTGAGCTGCGTTCACTGTCAAACAGCACACTTCCATTCCTCTAATGGAAATCCTTTCAAGCCATGTTTGCCCTTGTTGGCAACTATAAAGTTACACAATATGGAAAGTTGAAGGTCTCAGTGCCCACACACACTAAAAATAGACTTTACAATTAAGTTAGAGAGTCTGGAATTTTTGGATTATTCATTGAAACTGAAGAAGTATTCTATCAATTGCAGTTTTTTAATGTGCCACGAAACTTCTCGGTGGTATTTTTGAAGCATTGTTAGAATAGATTTGCCGAAGAGATTATTGACTTTTAATAAGTGAAATTCGACCAAATAGTTAAAGGCATTAATGTAAAGAAGTCATGCCTCATGGGGCTGCTAAGGTCACCATAACACAGAGAAAGAAAGCAGGCTGACAGAAGTGATCACCTCAAACTAGGCACAGTCCAAAATCAATGTTAATAACACACACACACACACACACACACACACACACACACACACACACACACACACACACACAGCATACAGTGGTTTAACCTATCTACTAAACATTACATTTAGCAGATTAAAAATACATCTCACCCTCTAGTTAAACTTCTTTGTTGATCAATTATTAAACAAAACCTTATGATTTATAGATGAATATAAAGCGACTGTCGAGCTGTCAGCTTGGATTGTTTCATAGAGACTGTTGGAAGAGTTTGATAGGAGGTCACAGACTAGCCTACTTCTTACCTTCGCAAAAAGCCGACTTTCACTGTCACTGTCCCATTAGGCATACAGGGGGATTTGGCTGTAACCCGGGGAGAGAGAAAAAGCCATCCTCCAATTTGAAGGCTACTTCCATAGAGATGCCATGCCAGAGAAAATTAGGATGACAGGAGACAGCTCAGGTCCCATGCAGTGCTTCGTAACAACAATACAGTTCCTTCTTACAGCCAAGATCCTTAATGGAGACCTTGTAATGTCATTAGAACAGTTAGTCTGGATCAAACTGCGACTCTTTTAAGTGTCCACTGCGCCCACTTTGGTCCGTGTTAAGCACGTTTTACGCCTTTTGGAGAGTATGCGCGCACAGGGCAACGACGGCTGAGAAACACGCTCCCGATTACGACTGAAGGGGAAATCCTTTCACATATTCGGCCTTTTTAATTTCCAAAACGCTCAAGATCTTACTCTCCAGCTGAAATTATTCCACATCATCGGGGAAAATAAACAACAATAGTCGCTGCTCTGATCTCCTTCGTGGCTGTAATGCGTAAAACTGTCGCTTATTCGCGACAAGAAAAAAAAAAAAGAGAGAAAAAAACTTGGTTTCCCTTTAAAGAAAAGAGTCAAAAATCAATTAAAAACAACTCATCAGGACTTTGTTCTGATATAATAATATTGGTAGAAGCGCAAAGCGAAATAAAGCGGGATTTTAAGTCCTCTGCGCCGGAGAGAGAGGGAAGCGCCTCCATCCAATTCCTCCAAAGCGCTTCTACGCTTGTGGGAATGCGAGAGACTTTCACTGAAATGTGTGTGTATGTTTGTGTGAGAGAGACGGGGCGGGGGGAGGGGGAGGGGGTGGGGGCCTTGTGCGCTCAAGACAAGATGTATGCATGCCTGTTTATTGAGGGAAACAAGGCATCGTGCCATGCTTTTTCTTGCGTTTGCAGGGCGCGGACGATAAGAGGGTGCCTGGTTTTAAGAAGGGGGAGGAAGAAGCCTCGTGATGCTTTCTACAGTGGGAAAGAAAAACTGATTATAATCTTGAACACATCTCAGTGGGAGCAGCGGGATGCTGTATTCAGTATCAACTTAAAAAAAAAAAACCTCAGGACATAACATTCCTGTAGCCCCAGAAGCATGTTAAAAAAGTCTGTTTTGCTCTTATATTGGCAAGAGTAACTGTTTTTATGTTTATGTAAGATATGCAAGAAAAGGCCCAGATGTTCAGAGTTATCAACATGCACAGGGTGATGTGTTTGTGTTCAACTATTCTATCTCCACACATGCCAAGAGAAAGAAAGAAAGAAAGAGAGATAGAGAGAAAGAGAGAAAGAGAGGGGCAGCAAAAACATTGCAGATGTTGGCATGTGGATCATTTCCTGTATTTACATGCTGGGATTGATTCTGTGAAATATGCCAGCTGGGGAAAAGAGAAGACGGAGATTAGGGCAGATATTTTGAACATTAAGACTTATGTGTGTGAGAGCAAAAAAGAGAGAGTTTTATTTGTTCAGGTGGCTGAGATTAAGTGAGAAATACAGCACCCCTTTAGGGTAAAGCTCAACAGCTGAACATACACACAATCATAACGGCGTTCTTCTAGCGCCATCCTCAACCTTAAACCTGACCATGACATGCCTGACCTCTGACTCTTACTCCTATTTTAATGCTGCCTCTGTTCATACTGGCACTATACAATACAATGACATCAAGTATCACAACTCTGCCCCCCCCCCCCCCCTCCACCATGTGCAGAAATCTGGAGCAGAAATCTGGATAAAAATCTTTATCTTGTTCACACCCAAACCCTTTGTTCTTCTCTCAAGCTCATAGCTCACTTGGGAGTCACTTCCCAATGGTCGGTCAGCTGATGTATTTAGCATTCCCTAAAAGCAGAAAGAAAACAAGCTGTAGAGGTCCAGAGAGGGCAGATGCATGCGAAAATGGGGAGAGGACAACCAAACAAAGCCTTACATTGTTGACTGCTGCATTTTGTGTTTATGAGTCCACTTGGGATTATGGGATTTACAAAATGTGTCGACTTTTTGTGTTATTCTTATTGTAAGCAGCTGTGGACGGGAGTCTCCAGCTCGATAATTAAGGGGGGGGGGGCTGTAATTTAATTGAGGAAAGCGTTGCACAGTGTGGAGGTGGAGGTGGAGGAAGGGAGGAGGTGAGGGTAAAAGGTGGAAAGAAGAGAGAGAATTTGTAATTCTGTCCATGTTGATTTCTTTAAATGAGAAAATCATTTGGAAAATGGAAATTTTGATGGAATGGTGGAAACCTTCAGGGGCTATTTTAGGCTCAATGATTGGGTATTTGGACAAAAGTGGGAGGGACACATTTGAAAACTGGGGAATAACTGGGAGCAAGCATTACATATTAATACATTTTTTTAGAAAAAAAGGGAAAAACAAAAGACCATCACAAATCCCAGAAGCAGAAGGATTTCCTCATGCTCCTTAATGTCATCCAACCAACATTTTGCAATTTAACAATTACTCAATTCGCTGTGATATGGAGCGGAGAAACCCAGTAATCACATTCAGATGCCTTCATTTGTCTGGAAAATGGCTGCAATTATTAACAGAACACTTCTTATCCTTTCTGTCTCCCCTCATTTGTTATGCAAATCTATTCCTTTTTTCCTGTGCGTTTGTGTGACGTCAAAATCTCCACCACAGACACATTCATGTACACACTCAATGATTATTACAGCCTCTCCGCTGCTAGAAGACGCCTTGTTACCATTTAGGTCAATGAGCCTCAGTGTCGTCATGAGTGTCTCTGTCTCTCTCTGTGAGCTGAATTGATTTTTTAAACAATGTTATTCAGATCAGGAGAAAGACTGGTTTGGTTTTCATGACTCTCTGGACGCAGCAGAGTTTGTTTTAATTCGCTCACTTTCACGAGATAAGAAAGTTCTTTGTTGAATGTTCTCCACCGGCCCCATTTTTCATACTCGCTTTTATCAGGTCTGGAAATGATAACATGCTACAGTATATGCTGATATCAAAATGTGCTGCAGCTGTTTCTTCTGTTATAACTGTACAAAAAAAAACTTTCCAGAAATATAGCTTGTCTTATCTTCACTGTGCTCCTTGCAAGATATATGTCTTTGTTGTTTGTGGTTTATTTTGGACTTAATATTTCATAGTGCCTTGAAATCCATCTGACATACTTTGAAGCTTCAAACGTTTTGCAGTTCTTGTCATTTTCAACTCTGCTAAGCTGTTTCTGGGTTTGGCTGAAACAAAGATTTAAGGTCCCCTCTGTGGTTTTTCAAACTTCCATAGAGCAGTGGTTCTCAACTAGGTGGGTGGTGTTTATTTATGCTGTAAAATCTGCTTTTTTTTTTACCAGTCATGTGTATGTGACTTCTGGTGTTCTTGGAGCCAGCCTCAAGTGGACACTCAACAAACTGCAGGATTTTGCACTTCCACATTGGCTACATTTTTCAAGAACGGAGGTTGCCGCTTGCTACAACCTTAACAATACCCTCTCGAACCAGAAATCTTGACTGTAAACTGACTGAGATAACACAGTCTGTAGGCAGAAGTAGTATTGTTGAATAGGTAGTCTCCCCCTGCTGGCCTTTAGAAAGAATGCAGGTTTAATGTTTGCATTAGCTACAACTATCAGACCTAGAAGCTATGTGCACCTCTTTTATAGAGCCTCATGTGGCGCTGCTGGAGTTTGTAACCGTCAGACAAAGAGCTTGGCTAGCTGTTTCCTACTTTTTTATTCTGTAACCATGAGTTTAGTTCATAGGCTGCGTGCTTTAGCTAAATAAAAATGTTCTAGTCTTTGTCCGCCTGTTTGAAAGCATATGTAGAAATATTCCTTTAATCCCTTGTGGCGATTGTGTGCAATTGTTTTAATGTTATTTGCTTTTCGATATAATTGCAATTTTCACAAATAACGTAAACATTAATTCATCATATATGAAGCATGAAGAAATGAAAAGAGAGATCTGTATGATTAGTTTTGTTGTCATAAAAATGTCCAACTCACTACACACACACACGCACGCACGCACGCACGCACGCACACACGCACGCACGCACACACACACACACACACACACACACACACACACACACACACACACACACACACACACACACACACACACACTGGGGATGAATGGTTATGATGCCTACCTTCTCAAAATGCACCCTACCTCCCACTCCCCCACTCTCCATTGCCATGGTTACAATGATGCAGGTTACCGTGGCAGCCAAGTAAACCCCACGCTCACTCAAAGGCGCACGTGCATCTGCTACACAGACACACAGACGGACATACGCAGGCTGTGACGTTGATGGTTTTGGAACATGGTGGCTGGAACATTATCTTCAGATATCAATCTGGAGGGAGGAGGGGAAAGTTGAACTGTCGTCATTCCTGCATTCGCCCCAACTTCAGTCGTAACATTTCTATTTTTGATCTGCCTCTACATGAATAGATACAATGTCAGGGTGGAAAAACAGGAAAAAAAGATCCATGACACAATTAGGCCTTACACAAATCTATAAATAGACATGTTGCATCAAGAAGCATCTTATCTACTGCTTTCAGTCCTCTGCATGTGGCTCTTATCTCTTCTTTCTGTACTGGTTCTTCATCGGTGGATTGAGTGCTTTGTGCGTTTGAGGCTCTGCTGCCACCTAGTGTTCATGTCATAAGAATCCAGACAAGATGTCTCTTGTTAAATATTTATTTCCAGGATGAGTCAGGTATCATAAGTGGGATATTTTTTAACAGACCATATGATCTAGATTCACAAGCAATACAATTAAAACTGAGACTAACATTGTGTTTATTTATTGTTTTTTGTGTGTGTTAGAATCAGGAACGCAGTTTGCTAATTTCACTGTAACGGTTTTTATTACTTATTATTATGTGATTATTTTGTCTATAAGATAATGTGAAAATAGTGATAAATCAAATCAGATCAGATCCCTGTAAGTGCCTGGAGACTTTTCCAAAATGCATATTTTTGTCACACTTGCAGGCTGAAGCCTAAAGATGTGATGTTCTCCCTCACAAAAGACGAAGAAAGGAAGGAAAATCCTTGATCCAGAAGTCGAAGCCAGCAAATATTGAAAAATGTCATTCGAGTGAGGAGAAGCAACAATAAAACATGAAAGGGAGAGGAGAAATGCAGAATGTGAAGAGGGGATGAGAGAAAACAAAATAGGTTAAATGGGAAAATGGAAAGAAGGATAAAGAACATAGATATTGGTAAAAAGATTATAGGGGAAGCTAACTGGTAAAAAAAAAAGAGGCAAACGGAAAAGGAACAACAATACAGAATTAAGACAGTTGTGTTTTTTAGACTAATCAGCACAAGAGAAAGGAAGAAGAGATAACTTGAAGTATTAAAAAATAAACATTGTGCCTCAACTTAAAGTCCAAATATCAAAGAGTCCTTCCAGTAATTTTGCATTAGTTACCTATATTTACGACGGTATGTTCTTACTACATTAACCTATAGCCCTTTTAGGATTTACTCAGACTTCTTAGTAGTAATCTAATTTCTCTCTAATCCCACCCGTCCCTCCCTCCCTCTTCCCTCTCTAACATGCTGTCTCTCACACACAAACACTCACATGTAGCCTACATTCTCACATTTAGACCAGCGGCCATTCATGTTGTTGGACTACTGCTGTCGTTGTTGTGGATTCACACTCATAAAACGCCATGGACCCCTTTCCCTCAAGGCTACACCCAGTGACACCTGGGTAAGGAAGCTGTGTGATGTA